AAAGTGCTCACAGTGTTCTTGAAGACCATAGAAAGTGCTTAGTGTTCTTGAAGACCATTGAAAGTGCTTACAGTGTTCTTGAAGACCATAGAAAGTGCTTACATTGTTCTTGGAAACCCTTGAAAGTGCTTACAGTGTTCTTGAAGACCATTTAAAGTGCTTACAGTGTTCTTGAAGACCATTTAAAGTGCTTACAGTGTTCTTGAAGACCATAGAAAGTGCTTACAGTGTTTTTGGGGACCCTTGAAAGTCCTTACAGTGTTCCTGCAGACCTTTGAAAGTGCTCACAGTGTTCTTGCAGACCCTTGAAAGTGCTTACAGTGTTCTTGCAAACCCTTGAAAGTGCTTACAGTGTTCTTGCAGACCTTTGAAAGTGCTCACAGTGTTCTTGCAGACCCTTGAAAGTGCTTACAGTGTTCTTGCAAACCCTTGAAAGAGCTCACAGTGTTCTTGCAGACCTTTGAAAGTGCTCACAGTGTTCTTGCAGACCCTTGAAAGTGCTTACAGTGTTCTTGCAAACCCTTGAAAGTGCTTACAGTGTTCTTGCAGACCTTTGAAAGTGCTCACAGTGTTCTTGCAGACCCTTGAAAGTGCTTACAGTGTTCTTGCAAACCCTTGAAATAGCTCACAGTGTTCTTGCAGACCTTTGAAAGTGCTCACAGTGTTCTTACAGTGTTCTTGCAGACCCTTGAAAGTGCTTATAGTGTTCTTGCAGACCCTTGAAAGTGCTTATAGTGTTCTTGCAGACCTTTGAAAGTGCTTATATAGTTTTCTTGGAGAGCCTTGAAAGTGCTTACAGTGTTCTTGCAGACCATTGAAAGAGCTTACAGTTTTCTTGCAGACCATTGAAAGTGCTTACAGTGTTCTTGCAGACCCTTGAAAGTGCTTATAGTGTTCTTGCAAACCCTTGAAAGTGCTTATAGTGTTCTTGCAGACCTTTGAAAGTGCTTACAGTGTTCTTGGAAACTTTTGAAAGTGCTCATAGTGTTCTTGCAGACCCTTGAAAGTGCTTATAGTGTTCTTGCAGACCCTTGAAAGTGCTTATAGTGATCTTGCAGACCCTTGAAAGAGCTTATAGTGTTCTTGCAGACCCTTGAAAGTGCTTACAGTGTTTTGGGGGACCCTTGAAACTCCTTACAGTGTTCTTGCAGACCTTTGAAAGTGCTCACAGTGTTCTTGCAGACCCTTGAAAGTGTTTACAGTGTTCTTGCAGACCCTTGAAAGTGCTTACAGTGTTCTTGCAAACCCTTGAAAGTGCTTACAGTGTTCTTGCAGATCATTGAAAGTGCTTATAGTGTTCTTGAAGACCATAGAAAGTGCTTACAGTGTTCTTGCAGACCATAGAAAGTGCTTACAGTGTTCTTGCAGACCATAGAAAGTGCTTACAGTATTCTTGCAGACCCTTGAAAGTGCTTATAGTGTTCTTGCAAACCCTTGAAAGTGCTTATAGTGTTCTTGGAGACCATTGAAAGTGCTTACAGTGTTCTTGCAAACCCTTGAAAGTGCTTATAGTGTTCTT